CGTTGCAGGAAGGCTGCAGGAGCTCCTGCTCCCCCAGAGCTGCTTCCCCAGGCAGCCAGCTGAGCTCCATCTGCTGCAGGACTGGGCTGTCTGTGCTGTTACTGCCAGCATTTGACCCAGTCAGGACAGAAGGGCATTTCCTTGCTGCACAACCAGCCTGAGAAGGAAAGAAGAGCCTCCAGAGAAAACTTCTCTTTACCCCCTTCCTTCCTCAGGGGAGTGTCTTGTGTATAGTGCAGGAGACTAACGGTGGGATCAGTAGGAGGCAAAAGCAGCAAAAGGGAGAGAGTGAGAGATGGGTTGTGAAGAGGGTGTTGTACTGAAGCCACAGGACAGTGTTCTCAGGAGAAGGGGCAGGGGAGAAAATGGACTGAGAGGAGACCCAAAACCAAAGGGGGAAGGAGTAGAGCAGCTCAGGCAACTATTTACTTCACACTCAGAAACAGCAGGTACTCCTTAAAGTAGGTTTTAGTTCAGTTCTACCCATGACTCGTGGTGCAGTTGTAAGCAAACCACTCACCTGTCCTGCAGCAGCTGCTGTAATATTTTTCCCTGTAGGTGCTGAGAGGTTTAATTAGTTTTTGACACAGCTTTGTGAGCCTTTGGCCAGCAGGGGCTGTACGGCATCCTCCAGCTCACACACGCCACCCGTTGAGGTCCAGCAGCCACTTCTCTCCCTGTTCCTCTCGCAGATGTCCCCATGCAGCAGAACATGGCTCTGTTTGAGTTCAATGGCCAGTGTGGCTACCTGCTGAAGCACGAGTTCATGCGGCGGCCGGACAAGCAGTTTGACCCCTTCTCTGTGGACCGCATCGACGTGGTGGTGGCCAGCACCCTGGCTGTCACGGCAAGTAGCCAGGGCTGCCCCTCCCCTGCCCCAGCCCAGTCCCCGCCCTGCCCTACCCAGAGCAGTTCTTGGTGGCCAGAGAACCCGGCGAGGCCGTGGGAGAGCGTTGCCATGGCAGCTCCCAGGCCTTGCACGAGTTTAAATTAATCATCATCGCATGAAAATGGAAAATTAGCATCTGCCACAGAGAGGAAGCCAAGAGTGATGGTGGGGAGGGAGGAGGCTGGAGGAAGTGCTGAAGCAAGAGACATGGGTGGAGGTATCAGAAGAGTCTCGGGTGGCTAGGAAGCTGCAGCAGAAAAGATGTTTTGGGGTGGGAGAGGACCTTGGGGTGAAGGTGTGGGTGGGGTGCCCTGTTGGTTTCAGCAGTTGCTGACCAGGTTTTGCTCCTTGGTAGATACTCTCTGGTCAGTTCCTCTCCGACCGCAGCGTGAGGACCTATGTGGAAGTGGAGCTGTTTGGGCTGCCAGGGGACACAAAACGCAAATACAGAACCAAGCTGACCTCCAGTGCCAACTCCATTAACCCTGTGTGGAAAGAGGAGGCTTTTGTTTTTGAAAAGGTAACACAATTTGATAGCAGGTTAGGCAGGGGACCCTTCGAGGGCCTGTTGGCTGCAAGCAGTGCCTGCTGAGCAGTCAGTGACAACAGGAGGGGTCCCTGGTGGAGATCTCAGTCATGGCTTCAGACACACAGAGCTGTGTGGTGTGAGCCACACAACAGGATCCAAAACAACTCCCCACCTAGATTTCCCTGAACAGACAGAGGGTAGCTGGGAATGTTTCTGGAAATAACAGATGTCAAAGGTCTCCTGTTTGTGATGCACTTCAGACTGAATTGACTAATCAGCTTTGAAACTTTCAAGCACCAGGAAGCAGAAGGGAACTGAGTGTCTGTGGTTAAACTGACAATGAGAAACAGAGCAACTGGAGGAGTAATGGGATCAGAGGGAGGTTTTGAGTTGGGGCAGAGTACAGAGAGCTGCCCTGTTTGTCCACAGGGATTCACTGGTGGCTTCTGCAGCCACAGGGTGCAGGGACGTGGCCAAAGGTGACTACAGGGATGTTTGGCCTTTCTGCGGAGGGCAAAGCACACACGACACAATTCATCTCTCTCAAGTCCACTGTGAAGTGGCAGATACCTTCAGACCTGCTTGGGATGTGGCAGATTAATACTATCCTCATTTCAGAGAACGCTCTTCAAGCTCCAGTTTTGGATTAATCATTTTTAGTTCATTTTATGGTGGAGGGGGTAGGGAAGAGCCCTTATGGCAAAGGGTACCAAGATTGCTAAATTATCCTGCCAAGTTCATTCCCTTCTCTGGGCAGTTGCTTCATGGAAGCTGAGCTTTGGAGGGTTGTTGCCCCATTTCTTCTTTGGATAAACTGCCCTTCTGTGACCCTCTGCAGTCTCTCTGGGAAGCTCATGCTTTGTGGAGTTTCTGTGAATTCAGCTATGTCTGTGATAAACTGTAGCCTGAAGTTGCAGGGTGCAGACAGAGGCAGTGACTTCTTGGGGAGGTGGCGTTGTCTTGTTGGTGGGAGGGGTGAGTAAAGTTCTGCTTGGTGAAGCCAGTGTGCTGCTGGGAGTGAGAGGTGAGGACACTGGTGCCTTTCTCTGCTTTTTCCTTAGATCATGATGCCTGAGTTGGCGTCTCTCAAAATTGTGGCTTGGGAGGAAGGAGGGAAGTTCATTGGTCATCGTATCATTCCTGTTATTGCCGTTCACTCAGGTAAATTTTGTGGCATTTCCTTCAGTTTTTGTGCCCTTGAGACCTATCCATTGGAAGCTGTAAAGATACAAACATCTGCATATTTTGCTACTTAATCTCTATTCCTGTAGGCAGTGGAGCCTTCAGATTCAGCCTTGGCTTAATTCCATAATATATTCACCGTGCCCTTCTGTGAAGAGAGGCTGTGTTGCTGTTGGAGCACACAGGGGAGGGGACAGGGCACCTCAGCTCTTCTGCTCTCTGCTTCCAGGCTATCACCACGTGTGTCTGCGCAGCGAGAGCAACATGCCCCTCACCTTGCCTGCCCTCTTCGTGTACCTGGAGGTGAAGGACTACGTGCCCGACGCCTGGGCAGGTACCACGGGGCACACTGGCACCCAGGGCTGCTCTGCCTGTCTCCAAACTCTGACCCAGAGGGGTTTTTCCAGCCCTGGGGGTGCTTTCCTGCTGCACCCTTAATCCCGTGCCTGGGCAGGACTTGAGCACGTGCCAGCACCCTGCCCCAGCTCTGCTTCCATCAGCAGGGAGGGGGGTCTGCACCCAGTGTGGGCTCAGGCACACAGCCCTGACTTGATGTGGCTGCCTCTGGTTTGGAACAGGTCAGCCTCTTCACTGCTCTGGTTCAGAGGCAGAGGGAGTTCTCCCAGATGGGAGGTGATAACCATCAGGGACTGAGGAGAGCAGGGCTGTAGGGAGCACAGGAGCATTCCTCTGCCCAGCTTGAAGAGAGCTGGTGCTGAGACAGATCTTCCTTTAAAAAGGACGTGGTCAAGCAGGGAGAGCTGAGCCAGGCAGGAAGCCCCACTTAACAACCACAAACAAAACCAGGCAGAATGTAGCAGCATCAGCCACAGAAGCTCTTGTGAATACTTCTCATGTTTACTCTCTCTTCCCCTGCATGCTGATACAACTGAACCTCCTTTGTGGGAGAAGTGCTGTGGAATTGCTGGTTTTAGGGCATGTTTGTAAGAAAGACCAGGTTTATATAGCACTGGACTGGAATCAGAGCAGGGAGCTGTGCAGGTTAGGAAAGGCTGAACCTGGCTTTGGGTTTGGGGAGCAGTACATCCTTCTCAGCTTCCCAGAGCTGCCCTAAACAGCAGTTGTGAGCCAGCACCTCAGAGGACACAGAACACCCTTCCCCACAATTTCCTGCCCAAGGCCAGGAAGGACACCAGAAGGTGAGGAAAATCAGAGTACAGTGAGTTATGGCACAGTCCAAGCAAAGGCCTTTTCTCTGCTTCCAGATCTGACTATTGCTCTCTCCAACCCCATCAAGTTCTTCAGTCTGCAAGACAAGAGGTCGGTCAGGCTAAAAGATGACTCAGGGGAGGTGAGTTCTTCAGGTCCTGTCGTTGTCTCTGAAACGTTGCATGGATTCAGCCTGACAGAACAGAGCTCTGAGTTACCTCTGCTCTGTGTTTCAGAGGCTTGGCACACAGAGGAAGCTTCCGTCTGCTGAAACTAACGGGATACCAGACCCCACTGGGAAATTCAGGATTCCTCCTTCAAACGGGCCTGCAGGTAAAGCTGTGGGTGTGGGAGCAGAGGGGAAGGCCTGGAAAGGGACAGTGCTGGAGGGTGAAGGTCCTTGGTAATGGGGTCAGAACCTCTAAGGCCAAGTCACCATCTGAAGTTCTGGTGCTTGTTAATGGCAGAAGTTGTAGTTACCTCTCAGCTCTTGGGCTGGAGCCTGGTGTGCATCATGCTCTCACTGCACAGCAGAAGAGTCATCCCAGGTACCTACTGAGAACACCAGGAAATGAGCTGAAGGCCCATGGTCCCATGTCTGGCATCCTGCAGGACTGAAAATGAAGCAGAGTCCTGTGATTTCAGTGCCAGATAAATGGGAACCCGTGGACAGAACATGAACAAAACCTACCTAGCTCTGACCAGCCAGATGAGTTGGAAAAAAAACGTATGGGTTTGCTTTCATAGAACTCAAAAGACAAAGTCAGCATTTCTTGCTAGGTTTAAAGAAATTCTGGCAGAGAAAGTTTGTTCTAACAGTCTGTTTGGTCCTTCCATACTGGCACCTTCTTGGCCTTACAAAGCAAGATGACCAGCAAATGCTAAAGGTGTAGTATTAGTGAAGGTGCCACAAGGGTTGTTCCTCAAGCATGCTTCTAACACAAGCTAACTGATGAGTAATTGCAGGCTAGCTAAGAGCACGTCCCCAGCCATGCACTCAGGTGGCCTCATTCTCTCCTGTTGTGTTTCATGTGTTTATTGACAGCTCATTGGGATCCCCTCATATTAACTCTATCAACATGATTAGTGTTGAATCATTAAGGTTGGAAAAGACCTTTAAGATCATCCAGTCCAACACTAGTGTCCTTTCAGAACCTTTAAGGTCATCCAGTCCAACCATCAGCCCAACACTAGTGTCCTTTCAAGTATGTTGGTATCAAAGGAATTTTCTCAAATTTCAGAGCAGAACATCCCTCTCACCTGATCAGTACAGCTTTACATGTGGCAAGTCATCACTAGCACTGTCCAGCTGAGCCACAGCAGCTGCCCTTCTCCTCTGCAAGGCAGAGAATCCTCTTCCCTTTCTGCTGTGCCTGTTAACGAAGTTCCCAAGCACTTAATTAGCTCAGCAGCTTCATTAATTCCTCTGTAATCACACCCTCATGTGGCCCATGTTCTTGATGAGCTCTCCACTGTCTGTTTTCAACCCAAACACCCAAGCTAGATCTTAAACAGGGGCCTCTTTTGTGATTGCAGGAGCAGCAGCATTCATCAGAGAAGAAAGTGTGATAGAAGTGACACATATCTCAGGTAACTCCTCTCGTGCTGCTCTCGTGGTAGCAGCATTCATCAGAGAAGAAAGTGTGCTAGAAGTGACACAGATCTCAGGTAACTCCTCTCGTGGGCTGAGGCCCTGTCAGTCATCTCACATTCCCCCTCTGCCCAGGTGTCATCCTCCAAAGCAAACTCTTCCCTCTGACAGGAGTAACTGCCTGTGTAGGTCTCTGAGCTGTCAGTCACAGTGAGTAATCTGGTGGTGGATGGTCAGAGTAGGGACCTTTTACTGCAAAGAACTGCATCCCAGTTACATGAGCTGTCTCCAGTTAATTCAACAACCTGTTTGAGGCAAAACTGGCCAGAAAGCAGACTGGTGTATGTTGCCTTTCAAGTATTATTACCATTATATAAGTCTGTCATCTCTTAATCACAGCTGGTGCTAGCAGTTTCTCATAGCCTTTAAAAGCTGACTTGTTTGAATATGGCTCAAGGCTTATTTAAGGTGGTTTCTTTAAAAGAGATCATTGTTTTCCCTTGAGAATTGATTTTGAATTGGTGTCATCTTCAGAAGTATTCTCTTGCCCAGAGTATTTTCCATCAGTATGTGTATGAGGTGATGTAAGTTACTAATCTTCCAAATTGGGGCAAATATTGTACCCCCTTCTCCACCCTTTCTGCTTGTGTTTGGGGGTGTTTTTAATCACCAAAAGCATTTCCATGTTTTGACTGACTTGTTTGGCAAAGTTGAGAAAGCCTTAGAGGTGAAGCCTGTTTTGCAAATCAAGCCCTGACCCAGCCCTGCTTGTGGTAGCCAGCACAAAGCCAACCCAGCTGAACCCTTGGGCCCAGGGACCCGGGTCCCTGCCTGTGCCCATACTGACAGCTGCCATGGCCTGTGGTGAGCTCACCTGGGCTGCTGCCACCTGCACAGGTAGCTCCAAAGAGCTTTGGACCACTCCAGCTTTAGCCCTTGAGGCCACTGGCAGCAGGTTGGCTTCAGAGCCAGGGGGGTGACTGGAGCCATCACACGAGTGCTGCTCTGGCCAGATTTGATGGTGCCTTTCCCCTGACCAAACCAGAGGTGCTATGGGCACGTGGAGCTCCAGCACACGTGCACCCTCTGGTGAGGGGTCGTTCTGCTCTGCTGTGTCCCAGTGCAGCATGAGCTGAGCCAGTACAGACCACTGGTAACCCCTGTGCCCAGTAATGGCACAAGAGCAGACCCACCGTGCTCAGCATACACTGCCAGGGAGCTGCTACGTGTATTACGTTCTAGCAGCCAGTACAGACCACTGGTAACCCCTGGGCCCAGTAATGGCACAAGAACAGACCCACCGTGCTCAGGATACGCTGCCAGGGAGCTGCTACGTGTATTATGTTCTGGTTTTAGAAGTTATTCCTAAAGAAAACTCTTCCCAGGGCAGAGCTGTGGCAGGTTCAGGTCTGTGCTCTGCCCCAAGGCTCCTGGAGCCTGCCCAGGGCCCCAGCTGGGCTCTGCACTTCCCTCCCCAGAGCTGCCCTGCAGAGCCCAGCACCATGGCACACACCCCACGGGGTCTGGTCATCTGACACACCCCAACCCTCCCAGAAAGGTTCTTCCCCATAGCAGATAACTCCCCGTGGCCTTTCTGCCACAGATAACTGCCTCTGGCTGCCGTGCTGCTGCCAGATAACTCAGCTCACAGGCACCCTGCCCCTCGCTTTCATCACCTCAAAAGCCCTTTCCTGGAGTCCTCACAACTGAAGCAGCCAAAGGGGAGGGCTGAAAGCACCACTCACTGTAGCTCAGCCCTGCAAAACCCAGGGGTGCCGTAACAAAGCTTCCCCTTGTGAGCAGAGCTGCCAGCTGGCGTCCCAGCTGTGCTGTCTTTGGGATGCCTGGAGTTGTGGGAGGAGGTGTGAGGCACAAGGCAGCCAGGCAAGCACATCAGCACCACCCAGGGCAGCAGCTCTGGCTGTGCCTGTGCCATGTGTCCAGAGGAGAGAGGAGAGGGAGGGGAAGCTGAACGAAGGCAGTGCTGAGAACACCCATCTGAGCCCAGCTCTCACAGCAGCCTGGGAACTGCTGGGTGAGACATAACAGCCTCTTTTATGTTGCATTTTAGAGCCCCAGACAGTCAGCCTCGCAGAGCTGCAGCAGATGAAGCTCTTCCTGAAGCTGCTGAAGAAGCAGGAGAAGGAACTGAAGGACCTGGAGCGGAAAGGGAGTAAACGGAGGGAGGAACTGCTGCAGAAATACTCTGTGCTCTTCTCAGAGCCTGTCTGCTCGGGGGGCAAGAAAAGGATGGTGCACTCCAGGAAGATCCAGAAGAAGAGGTAAATCCAGCACAGGATCTGCAGCAGGGCCTGGCCTGGGGGCCACCTCCCCAAACCAGGGCAGAGGGAGCCCTAGGAGAAACGTGGGCTCCCCTTCTCCGTGGGCCACACGAGGGGTGCAGGCAGCCACAGCCCCCGGGGTGTGCTGGGGGCCCCACTGAGGGGTGGGCAGGGAGGGCAGGACTCTGTGGGCACCTCGAGGAGCAGCAGAGCTGCTGTATCTCTCCTGCAGGAGTCTGACCACAGGTGACGTTGGCACGTGTACAAACCCTGTAGAGGTGGCAGAAAGCATCGACAGCCAGGTTGTGGAACTGAGGGAGAGGCTGGAGATGGACCTCATCCTCCTGGGGGAGGAGCACCACGAGGGGATTCGGAGGAAGAAGGAGCAGCACGCCACGGAGGTGAGGACTGCAGATGTCAGCAGGAGAGCCCCTGCAAGGACAGCCTGAAGAAGCAAGGTCTTCATAAGCTGTGAGCCTGGAAATGGGGGCACAGGGCAGAACACACCCTTGGGAGCAACTCTCAGGTCCATGCAAGGCAACTGAGAATGTAGACAGTGATGCTGGTTTGTTAGAAGCTATAACAGTCCAGCAAAACCAGGAGAAAATAGAAATATATAACAATAGATATTGAAATATATAAGAAATGCAGTAAGAAATATATACCACTAGGTCTGTAATCTGAAAAAAAATGGAGCAGCAGTGCAGGAAAGCCTTGTGGGGAGACACTGCTCCTGGGAGCACCCCCAGTGCTGCCAGCAGGGCTGGAGCTCGTGCCCCTTCATCTGAGGTTTGCTGTTTGCCTGGGTAGGAGCCCTTGGTAGGAAGTGTCCACCTAAGGTGCCACCCCCTTAACAAAAGCCAGCAAGAGGCAGAGCAGCTCCTGGGGACAAGGTGCAGAGCTGGTGGTGGGGATGGTGCCCAGCCTGTGGCAGTGGAAGGGGATGAGGCTGGGGTTTTGGAAACCTTTCCCTGCCATTTTTTTCCAAAGGAGTTTGCACTGTATGTCTTAACTCTCAGGCTCCCTGGTGCACTTTGGTTTGACAAGCTGTCTACAAGACTGTCTGCTCTTAGCCCATACCAACCCTGAGGTCAAAACCTGCCTCTTGAGCACTGGCTTCCCAGGAAATCATGCTGATCACCAGAGGGAAGCCAAAGGACCAAAACGTCCCCATCTCACAGCTGTCAAAGTCTGAGATTTAGTGAGCAAGGCTACAAAAAAGCAATAAACTCCTTGAGTGGTGCACACCAGGCAGCAGTGCCAGCAGGTCTCACTGTGCTGGCAGGAACCTGCCAGGCACCTCACAGAACTTGCTCTCCACGAGACAGAATCCCATCCTCTTGCTGGCCTCTCTTGTTTAGAAGCTCTGCTGCTGTTTCCCACCTCCCCACAAGCAGAGTGACCCTGGCACTGCCTCCTGCACAGAGGATAGGAAGCTGTCCATAAAGATAACTGGAGGCATGTGACACAGGGCTCAGTGTGGCCTCTGGAGCCCTGGTGGAGTCATCTCTGCTGGAGTCAGCCCTGGTGGAGTCAGCCAGGGTCAGCCTGTGTCTGACCTCACTGCTCTGGGCCAGGGGTTTGCCCAAAGCCTCCTGGATGGGCTGGGCCCTGGTGTTCAGTGCAGGGAGGGCTGGAGCTGGGTCAGGAGGTGGTTGGATGGGATGATGTGCTGTGTCTCATCTTGCTTTGTGTGGCTTTGTTCTTGTCCTCCTGCCTTGAACAGCAAGTCACCAAGATAATGGAGCTGGCCAGAGAGAAGCAGATGGCTGAGCTGAAGGCACTGAAGGAGTCATCAGAAAGGTAAAGTCAGTGTTTGAATTCCACAGTAATAATGCACAGCTCGTCTTGGGGCAGCATTTTCTGCCAGATCTCAAAGCACTGTGCTGCAGCCACTGAGGAGGAGCTTTTCTTCTACGTTGGTGAGGAGTCATCTGAGTGTTCTGGTCTCCAGAGCAGCGTGCGTGGCGTGAGGCACCAAGCAGGGTGTTCACGTCCAAGCTGCAGTGAGTAGCCTTGAGGGACTAATCCAGAAGGATGGGAAATAAAGCTGCTGGTCCCTGGCTGTCAGCTCTATCTGCTGCAGTCACTGCATCACACCTAATCCCTCCTCGGGACTGAGCTCAGGCGTCTGAGTGAATTGAGCATCTTGGCTCCTGGACTTCAATAAACTGGCAGAATCAATTCATCCATTTCTATCCAGGCATTTATCCATTGGTTCTTGTAATAACATTGTCCTGAAACTGAAGTCCTCACTCATTCCTCCTCCCCACTGAGTCCTCTCTCAGCCTTCAGTGGCTAAGTCAGGCAAAACTTCCTCATTTTGTGTCCTCCAACAAAACAGAGTTTCCATTTCTCTCAATGGAAAAAACCCCAAGAGCCTGCAGAGAGCTCAGCAGTGCCCAGGGCTGAGCTGCTGTCACTCAGGGGAGACCCTCAGCTGCAGGGGGGGTCTCTGCCAAACTGCTCATCAGCCTCAGCTCCACAGTGGCCAAAGTGACAAACAGAGTTTTAGGAATTATATGGGGAGGAAAAAGGAAGATTGGAAGTTCAGCATCGTGCCACTCGAGCTGCCTCTCCAGGGTGTCACCTTGGACAAAAGGCTCTGGAGGAGCGAGGGCTGCAGGGGCAGGGGGAGGGATGGCTGTACAAAAAGGGGTGGGCTAGGACAGCCTGGAGAGCAGCTGCTGGAGGGGCGTGTGCCAGGGTGTGTAAGATCAGGAGTGGCATGGAGAAGGAGGATGGGGAAGTGATCACTCAGGGTTCTGCAGAAGGGCAGGAGCGTGGGGCACCCAGGGCAGGGCTGGGGGTCCTGCCACCCCCCACAGAAACCAAGCTCTTGTCCTCTGGGGACAAGGAGCTGGGGAGTCCAGACTCCAGGGTGTGAGCCACAGCTCCAGAGAAGCTGGAGGAGAGACTGGAAGCTGGGAAGGTGAAGGGGGAAATGTTCTCATTCCCCCCTGCTCTTGAGCACACGCTGCTTCCAGTGCTGGCAGCAGGACAGCAGCCCCAAGGCCACCAGCCCTGCTTTCTGCCTTGCAAGCCACAGCCCATAGTTTCTGTGCCTTGCTGTTTGCTTCAGGTCTTTATTTTGGGACTGCTATATAGACATGTTGTTCCTTTTTTTTTTTTTTAATTTTATTTTTAATTTAGCAGTGTAAGTACTTTGAGCAAGTCTCCAGCTGCTCGAGAGGAGCCCAGAGTAGGTGTAGGAGGCAGCCTGAGCCTGGGGTGTCTCTCCTCCTCCCCCTTTGTTATGATCCCTTTAAAGAAAAGCAATTTTCAAGCTACAGGACTTAAAATGTTTTCAAGGCTTAGGGCTTTCTGCTGCACAGCCACTGGGACTCTGCTGGTCCTGGCAGCAGAGGCTGGGGGGTGGCTGCAGCCCCAGCTCCCCACTGCCCTTCTCTCCACAGCAACATCAAGGACATCAAGAAGAAGCTGGAGGCCAAGCGGGTGGAGCGGATCCAGAGCGTGCTGAGGAGCACGAGTGACAGGGCAGCAC